AAAAAAAAAATTCTCATATCAAATACTACCCAGCATCTTTCTGGATGAAAGACAGTCAGTCGCATTCGCTCTGTAGCTCTTCTCTTGCCTCTAGCTTTCTTTTTGCAGAAGATGACCAAGCCTGTTGGCCAGCTTTGCCTTTAGCAATCCTAATCCTATGCTCAAAATGAACTGACATTAGAAATCAATTGCTTATCAGATTGGGACTTCTACAACATGTGTCTAAAAGCTGACGAAGTTCAGGCTGTAGGAATTGCTCCTAAGATTATATTGACTAAATCAACTAGTAAATTCATGGTGGGAAAACTCTTGTTTTTTTCACCATAGCAAACTTCAAAACCCAGTGATCAGTTCAACCTTGGAGCTCATGCTGCTAACATGTATTAGTTTAATCTTGGAGAGTGAATACGTGCGTATTCTTACCCAGCCTGCAAACACTTCAGGACAAACACTCCGGCGCTTCGCGGTAGGATGCAGCCCAGGGCTTTGATAACAGTAATTGAATAGTAGCTACCATTGTGAAGAAAACCAAAGCAATATTCAACTATAGTAACCATTAATAAACTGGAAAGTATGTTATCAATTATTTCAAACAAATATATTAATTTCTAACTGGTAGATTTAGCATTTTGATGGTGCTTACAGTAAATGGATGTTTTTGTTTTTCATAGGTAGCATTTAAAATGCAGAAGGAATGTTTTATTCTAAAAAAAAAGTGTTATATCTAAGGTCTTAATTATAGAAAGACGCCTTATGTTTTGCATTTGGCACTTCTGCCAGGAATTTTATTTGAATTCTCAAAATATCAAGACATATCAGTGTGGGGTTTTTTGGTAATCTGCATGGATTTTGTTTCCTGTATCCTAATTTCCTTTCTTTTAATATTTGAATCTTATTAACACTACAAAATTCACTACTGCCATAGCTTTAATTCCAGTATCACTGAATCTGAATATCAGAATATGTAACATACCGCACAGGTGTACTAAGTGTTGTAGACCTCTTTGCCCTATGAGTTTTGGTTTTTTTTTTTTTTTCATTTTTCCCTTCTCCCCTCAGTATTTATTTTACCTTTACCATATATTTCTTGACATTTATATTCAGTAGATATTTTATCATATCAAACGGGTCATCAGCATTACTAAACACTGGTATGGAGATACTGGCAGGAGTTCCTTGCTCTGCTCTCTGCTTAAAATGTGTGCAGAGTCTGTTGTAACAAATAATCAGGAAGTCTGGGCAGATTTCTTTGTGCACTCACCTTGCATGGGCATGAATTCAGATGCAGGGCACATCACAGGAGTAGGAGAATTATGTTTATGAAGTTCAGTATGTCAGGAATATTTTTGTAATGTTCTACCAGCTTTACTGCGAGGACAGGCATTATTCCAAGGCTTGTCACAGTTAACAAGTAACAAAATGACAAAATATGAAAATTAATAGTGTAGTAAGCCTTAAAGAAATATTTCAGGGAAAAGAAGAATCTATCTGAAAGAAAATAAATTACTCAAATGCTAAAGGTTTTGTCTGTCACAATGAGATGAAGGGTCTCTTGACAGTAACTCAGCTAGCTGAGGTAGGTAGCAACGTACTTAGAAATTCTGTTAGAAGTAGGATTAAGGGTCTTTTTCAATAGGAAAGTTTTGTTTGCTTGTTTTTCTCACCTTCCCTGAGGAGATAATTTAAAAAGAAGCTTGTTCACACGAAGGAAAAAATCTCTCCTTGCCTGCAGTTGCTTACAGTTCATGAGGAGATGCCTAGAGGGCAACAGTGTGGGCAAGATCCCTGTAAGTGAACTCAGCTGTTCACTTGAGCTTCCTGCAGCATGGAGCAGCCTACGTCCATGCCATGCATCTGTGCAGTGCCACTTTCTCATTTGGTTTCATCTAAATAAATCTGTAGAGATTTGGGTATTTTGGAGCTTAAATATTTTAATGCACGCTTACTAATCTTACACTTCTGCTGGATCAGCAAGCTGAACTTGGGTTAACTGAGCTTGATGCGAAGATTAAGTCCATCCTACAGTGCTGTAGTTCTTCCTTCACAGAGAGAACTTCAACTTATTTTCAAAAGATTTGGAGAGGACAGGAGGTGCTAACTGGCAGATAAGTAGTAACCACCCAAACTGTGTTTGCATCTTCAAAGTGTTCTTCCTATACATGGTTGTCTATTCCAGATGCTTCATTTTGCGTGTTATTGTCTGAGTTTGTTCACGTGGACACAAAATAATTTTATCAAAGTATATACTAATTGAAAAAGCTGATTGGTTATGTTTATTAAAAAGTCAGTAGTTATTTATTTTAAAAAGTAGATAGTATTTGTGGCTTTGAAATTACCTTGTTGTGAGGTGTTTTGTAAAGTTTGGAAATGTGTTAGAAACTGATTGACTTAGGGGTTCTTGAAAATCCCTCCTTTTGTATTCCTTGCTGTGGAGTAATGAGTTGTAAGACCTTAGGGAGAAATACAACTATATCTTTAAGTCATCTTAATGAAAGATGCAAAGCGTGATGTGTACAAGGTCATTTTCGTAGAATGACCCTGAAGTTAGTTCAGGTGGATCTGATTATCTTTCATTTTTATAAGCAGAGAGAGTGAAATTAAGAACTGGAGAAACTGGCAGGAGAGACCAACAATATCTTATAAGAAAGCTTGAACTAAAATTGAAATTATTTGTGTTAGCAGTAAGTGACAAGGGAGTGTGATCAAAAATACATAGGCACCCTACTCATGGGAATTTTATCTATTTGTGTGAGAATTACACCCGAGCTGGACAAGACTGGACTAAAATCTTAGTTAAAAAAGATGTGTGACTGAGGATCACATCTTCAGTTTCAGTGCACGTACCTTGCTTGGATCCCAGTCTTCAAGTATGTATGGGCAGATTAAGACTCACATTTGTGTAAGTTCTGAGAACAGACGTGTTGTTTTTGTCATTAAAATGTCACAGATATACTCCTTATCATGTGGTAGTTGAGTTTCTTTTCAAAACCTCCTTTCAAGGGGAAAGCTGGTGGTTTTGTTGCTCAAATTATTTATCTGAAGGCTACTCTTTCCTCATCTTGCTGCTGCTGTTAACCCTCTGTTTAGTCTCTGTTGTGTCCAGTAGATCAACCGGAAAACAGGGAGGGGGGAGAGCTCTCTGTGCTATAGTGAATATTTCTTTTAAAATGTTTTCTCAATTATTCTTCAAGTACATACATCTGATGTATTTATCTTAATTGAGAAGAGATTTCATTTATAAAATTATATAAGCAATATATATTTGATAAATCAATACTGCAAACTTATTTCCTCTTCGTTCTGACATGCTGTGTTTATAATCTTTGTAAAAACTGTTCTAAAAAATGAGAGAAAACTCTAATTCCAAGGTGAATTTTTGTCTGTATAGCTGTAAGCTGTCATCCAAAAGAAACTTATAAAGGATTTGATTTAAGTTTATACTTCGTCGGGCTATACGTCCTGAAATCTGTTGCTCCAACTTTTCCCATAGATATTTTTCATCCTTTGGAATGGACATCTGGAGAGTTGTTTCTCAGGCAGAAAGGAGAATTTATTCTTCTCTCAATTATCAGGAATACCAATCATGTATCTGTAAGCGTCTTTCAGATATACCAAGCCACTATGTGAAATGTCTGTAATACCATTCCAAGAAGAAAAATTCAAAGGAAGGTGTTGATCAATTTTAAAATTTCTTTTATTTGTCATGGTAATACATATTTTGTGAAACAGAAACATATATATGAAGATATATGAGCATGTAAGTAAGGCTAGTACAGGTATACTTTTTACTAGAGTCCATTCCTGGTTGACAAGTGGAATAGGAAATAGTGTATAGAAAAAAAAAATGCTGGTACTAAATGAAAAAGTGACTGAGTTTGCAACAAAGATGTGCAGTATTGGTGACGAGCAGAAATTCAGATCTCCAAATAGAAAGTGTGTTTGTCTGTTAGCGCATGTTAATAGTACTTCACATAACACCTTTAATCCTGCATCTGCCAGAGCACATGGAATGTTCTTTCTTCCTGGATCGCCTGCCTTTCTACCACAATTTACCCCTCATTAGGGTCAGTCTTGTGTAATCCTAGGTAAAGAACAGCTTCTTGCAGTGAAGAGCCAGCGGACAGAAACGGTTGTTACCTATTTCTTTCTCTTCTGGAAGAAAAGAGGAATATTTCATTATTCCTCCTTAGATGCTCTCCCATAGAGTTTCTCTTTAGACTGCATTCCCCAGCTTGCTTTCTGCTCTCCTGCTCCAAAGTATAGTGCTCTGTGCTCATCCTACTCAGCCACCTTCACCAGTTTAATTTCAACCCCCTGTTTCAGTTCTTGGAGTGTCCCACGGTTTCTCTTGCTTTGATATTGCCTTCAAAGTTAATAGAGCTTCCTTGCCTTCTCTTTTCCAAGTGATTCTTGAAAATGCCAATGCTACTGTACCCAAGACAGACTCCAGGGGATAAGCACTTTTTTTTCTCTTTCCAGTTTGCCTGTGAACCTATATTAACTGCTCACTAAGTAGGTTTTCCCCACCACTCAGGCACTCACTCCACAGTAGTTTTCTTCAAGAACGTGTTTCTATAGCTTGTGTATGAGGGGTGCTGCGTGAGGGTGTCAAATGCGTGCCGCCAAGATAGGTGACATCTGCCCCTTCACCTGTGTGGCAGTTATGCTCTTACAGGACACACAACTGTAAGAAGGCAAATTTTGCTGTTGCAAAGGCATGTGTGTGAAAGAAAAAGGAATTAATTGCCATGGACACCAGCAAGGAGCCCTTCCTAAGGAGAATCCAGGAGACGTTTCCACGTAACTTTTATGATCACACAGCAGGAATTTCCTACTTCATGAAATCTCCTTTACAAGATATTACACTGAGTAATCTTTGTGTATGCACACTAAGCAGATGGGAACAAAGATTTTTTTTTTTCTGTGAAATTAAGCTTTTATGAATAGCACCTTTCCCATGCTGTGCTAATGTAATAGTTTTTGGAGGCGACGTAGGATAAAAGAAATATTTCTTTAAAATCTGTAAATGTAATTTCACAGGGGCAAACAACTTTGCTTTTTCAAGAAAGGCAATCAGAGATTAAAGTGAATTTGTTAAAAGAATTTGATTAGTTCTCAGTTTGGATCTAGGCGTCAGAGTGTTTTTTCTTTTACCCTACTTTTTAATTTTGCCTTTATAGCAGAATAAAATTGTTATTTCAGAGGTCACAGACACGTGGTATTAAATCACAAACGCCAGTTCAATGTGTTTAACAAGGTGTGTTTCCTTGTGCAGAGGAGGAGCCTGCCCCCAACAGCGTTCTTGTTGAGTACCTTCAGGAGAAGAGGAAGTACGAAGACAAGCGGAAGCAGCAGCCAAAGAAGGGGGTGTCTCGTGAAGATCAGGTAAGAGTCTGAAAAACTGAGAAGGAGAAAAAGACCTAGAGAGTTCTGAAAAGACGTATTTCTTCAGCTGTATAAAAATAAACTCATGTGTCCCCTCCATTTTATATGAAATGAAGAATATTGCTATGGTTTGTTGCATTAAAAAGGGAGGAGAGGTGATTCATGCTCTTCAATCCCCTCTTTGGATTACTCAGGTGCCCAAGTAAGGGACCTTTCTATGCTCTAAGTATCCTGATCAAAACCCACCAATTTTTATATGTGAAAGTGCTATCAGTTTAGTCATTAAAAATGAAAATGAAAAACTACCTGTGCAGAGCTATTCTTGATTTCGTTTACCAAGAGTTGCGTTTCTGTACAGTGCTTTCCTTGGCTCTGCAGCTTCCCATAAACTAACATTGGGACAGAAGTATGCATGCTTGCTGAAAAGGCTGTATACTTTACATTTCAACTTATATTTTAAAGAGATTAAATTCATCCCTATGTTTGAATATTATGAAATCAACAAAAAATAGCTTCTAGCTGCACTGTATAAAAAAATATAATTGCTTTTGTATGGAAAGGCGGTTTGGATGTATGTAGACTTTAGTGTGGAAATATAAGCAATGGTAAGTTTGATGTAAATATTTGGGGTTTTTTTCTAAAATGGCAAAGTTTGGGCCTACTACATATATGTTAAACTGCCAAGAAAGGGGAAATAGCATTAATCTAAAGTCTGATGCATGTGTTTATAAGAGTATGCCAGTTGAGCAGTGAGGATGTTCATATTCAACTGCTGGAGCTGAAAGACTTTGGAAACTTGAGGCCTAATAACTTCAAAGCAGGGGGTTGAAAAACCTTTATACACATAGCTTTAAACTAAGAAGCTTTTGGAAACTTTGTAAATTCAAAAACGCATTAACTGTGAATCAAAGGGCACCAAGCCTCTGTTGGCAAATTGCACTGGGGACTTAAAACCGCTACTAGGCAATAATTAATCTAGTTCTTTGTAATCCCTTTCACTTGCGAAGGGCCTCTCATCTCCTCATCTCTCCTACTGGGTCCTGCCCCACAATACTATTTCCCTCCCCCTGTACAAGAGTTAAAAAGGGGAGACGTAGAGAGGCACTGGAAATCCTAACCTGACATTATTGCCAGTGTGAATTTGTAAAGAAATGTGGCCTTCGTGAAGGCATCCAATCACCCACTGTACAAACACCTACTAAGATATTCCCAAATTATTCCTATAGTCGGATCTGTATATTCAGGAGTGGGGCACCAGTCAAAAATAGACAGGACACATGGAATGTGGCTTTGGTTGCACCAAATCTGTGTAAGCAGAGGTTAGTTTGTTCTCATGTGGTGGCTTGGGCAAAGGTGGCCATCCCAAACGTTGGCAGTATGAGGTTTGTTTGCAGGAGGATGGAAAGCTGTATAGCACTTGTAGGATATGCAGGCTCAAAATATTCTTGAAATTTTCCTCTCCCAAATCTTAAACAGAAGATTAAACAGGAAATAGAATAAATGCAAAAAATCTCCAAAACCCACTATTGGCAGTGCTAAAATATGTTTTTGAAAGAATTCAAAAGCCAGGAAACTCCTAAAGTTAAGATTGCTCCCAGAAGGAAATTTGACTCCAGTGAACACTTCTGGTATTTCCTATTTCTGTTTTCTATTCTTGTTTGATTTTTATTCTTTTAAATTTGAAAAACTTGACCAAACAAAACTAAACAGCTATACAGAGGTGTTTTACAGCATAGGTGGCCAAGCTATCGCCTGCAGATCAAATGCAGTCTCCCACATAAATTCAGACAAGCACCTATTCCCTGACACTTTCCCTTCTAGGAACATCTCGAATATCCGCAAAATAGCAAGCTGAAGGCTGTGCATATTATTCTTCCAGTCTGCCCTTTTTTTGGAAGAGCCCTGTGGTCCCTCTCCCATCCCAAGACTTAGGGATATAATTCCCATGTAATCTAAATCTCCTCTTGGGTGATGAGGAGAAACAAGCCGTACTTCACGAGCCTCAGGTGGCACCGGAGACGTGGTGAGGTTTGCTCCAGCAGTGTCATTCATGGAACAAACACGAGACACACAGCACTGAGCTTGGCTGTGCAGCCCGAGAACTCCTTACGTTAAGTGGTTTGTTGTATTCAAGACAAAGACTTTTATTTAAAAAAAAAGTATCAACGTAGAATTTAAACGATCTTCAGTGTACAGTGTATAAAAGTCAACGTAGGTCTTGTAAACGTGAATCATTTGTAATTTATGCTTTGGATTGTTTTACTAGAAGCAAATGAAAGCTTCAAACTGTAAAATTTGTTGCTTGGGCCAGCATTGCTTTATCAGCTATTTTAGTCAATATGGACAGCAGCAAGTTTCTTGAATACATATTTTGATCTCAGTAGATGGCCCTAGAGGCACTTATAGACACAGCAATTGTACCTCCGTGTTGAGGATTTCTCATATTCCATGAGAATGAGTAAACTTAAAATTTGTTAATATATTAACAGTAAAAACTTTCTAAAGAGCTTTTGGTCTTGTGTCATTGCTGCTGCTGTTTTTCCTGGAGAATTAATAATGTTGCAGGAAGAAAGAGGAATATGTAGGATAAGATGTAGACAGTTAGGCTTTTACATATCTAGTCAGCACAGTTTAAAAAATCAGCGCCAGTTCTCAGTCACTGAACCTGAGCTGTGCCCAGGTCTGCAGGCTGTACCTGATCCCCGGCGTGGTAAATGGAAATCTTTTTCAACCAGCATGTGCCTCTGTCTGTCCATCTGTTTCTTTATCAAAACCATTTCTCTGCAATTGAACTGATCTTAAAATAATACAGATTTAGAGGTGTTGTATATGCTGTTTAAAAAAAAGCCTTCACTAAAACCATGTATTTAATTTCAGACACTAGCGCTCTTGGACCGCTTTAAATCAAAGTTAACCCAAGCAATTGAAGAAACTCCTGAAAATGAGGTGTCTGAACCTGAAGGGGAAAATGATGAGGGATGGTAAGTTTTTTTATTTTGATTTTTGGTTGTTACACTTTATCAGTTTGAGGAAAAGTAACATTCCTAAGTTTTAGTTCATTTTGCAGTCCAGAGTCATCCTTCAGCTTAGTTAAACCTTTTTAATTTTGTTTTGGTTTAAACCTATTTATTGCCATTTCACTTGTTAGCAGCACATTTGGTTACTTGTCTCTTTGCCTTAGTTTTCCATTAGGACATCATGATGAGTAAATAAGGTTATTTACATCTGCATCTTACCGCATCTTTGCAGTTCCTGAAGTTAATTTTTTCCATAAGTACTGCCTATTGGGTGTATTTATATTATTTTTTGATGTGTCTGTGTGGGCATTAGTGTAGTCTGCTTTAATTTTAACAGACGTCTTCTCATTTTCATCAATGAAATAAATTGTCATCAAGTGGCTTGTTAAAAATCCTATGATTCTTTCAAAATAGCAAACAGCAGATCAAACAGGTCATCATCATTTATCATATTAATTTTTATTGTTTATCTTCTTTATTTTGTCACCGTGTAGAACTGAGCATTGCTTATAGCTTTAACATCTCATCAAAACCATTTTTGGTTTTGATGTAGGAAGAGTTGTGTGGTAGTTTAATATTAATGTAGTTCAGGTTTCTAAATTTTCTTTCTAGTGTGTGACAATTCCATTATCTGGATTGAAAAGAGGAAATACAGTCTTGCATTCTCTGCTTTTATTCTTTGCTTATATTCATTGGCCATTTCAACAGATAAATCAGAACATTGCTGTTGATCTTGTTTCTAAAAACAGGAAACAATAGTTTTTAAATCTTACTTCTTTCAGAATAACTCCTACTAATAATTAGTTACTATTCTAAATTTACTTTGGCTGCTTCTTTAAGGCACTTAGTCTTCTGTCATTAGTGTTTTTCCTATCTTCAGCCTCCTTCAGCTTGTGAGGCGGTGGGATTACACAGAGCATATATCATGAGGCCTTCTGGCTTTTCTGATACACTGAGGTCGTTCTTTGGTCGTGATGGGCTTCTGAAGTCCCCCAAGAAGCTTGCAGCCTTTCTGTATCCATGCACCTGGTTTTTACGTCAGATATTTTATTGACACAATGATATAACTGGTTGTACAGTTTAGTCATCATCTTTGCTGTTCCTTTAATACCTGTTGACATCTAATTGCTGGCAGTAGTTCTTTTCCCTGTGCGTAGCTTGCACTGAGGGAAGAGTGTTACCATTTCAAATTAAAGTGTTGCTTGTAATTTTGATCAGAAAATAACATTCCAATCAAAATTGCACTAACTGGGAAATTTACAATAATGTGACGTCACCTGAGAGCCTAGCAATTAACATGATCGTATTATTAGTTTTACAGAGTAGTAAATGCACACATTCAGTTTACAGAGTCTTGGTCTTTCTTTAAAGAAACGTTAAATCTAAATTGAACCTAAATAACATATTTGGCAAATTGAATATAAACACATAGAGCATTCTTCCAAAAGCTGGTAAGGGCTGCTAGAATGGTTTGGAGAGTTGTATTTTGGAGTAACAATTTTCATATCTTGCATTAGATGATTTGAGCTAACAATTGCAAGTTCACATTAAAAATCCATTGCACCTGAATTCCAATCCACTCCTCAAAACACAATAACTCTAATTAACGTGCAGTTAATTAGCCAGGCAGCAGGGTGAGCGAGTGGCGCGGGCGGGTGCGAGGCCGGCCAGCGAGGCGAGGCCTGCAGCCCCTCTGGTAGGTCCTGGCCGCTGCCCTTACGGGGAGCGAGAGGCAGCCAGGTTGCTGTGCCCTGCTGTCAGGGTGCGTTATCTGAGGGGAAATGCTTGCCCCTCAGACACTTTTATGTGTCCACATGAGTGGCCACACATTGAGGTATAATTTTCATTCTCTGTCAAGATAGAAACCATTACCAATTTGTTATGTTTTCTTTTATTTGGCAAACTTTTCTCTGCATATTTGGCTGAGCTGCTGTATTGGCATGGAGCGTAGCAGACGTTTGGGCACTTTTCAGCAACATTTTACTTTTTATGCAAAGAA